TCCACAATAGCCAAACTGTAGAAAGAGCCAAGATGTCCATCGACAGATGAATGGATAAAGAAGAGGTGGTATATATACACAATGGAATATTATGCAGCCATCAAAAGGAATGAGGTCTTGCCATTTGCAACGACGTGGATGGAACTGGAGGGTGTTATGCTTAGTGAAATAAGTCAATCAGAGAAAGACATGTATCATATGACCTCACTGATATGAGGAATTCTTAATCTCAGGAACAAACTGAGGGTTGCTGGAGTGGTCAGGGGTGGGAGGGATGGGGTGGCTGGGTGATAGACATTGGGGAGGGTATGTGCTACGGTGAGCGCTGTGAATTGTGTAAGACTGTTGAATCACAGATCTGTACTTCTGAAACAAATAACGCAACATATTTTAAGAAAAAAGAAAAAGAAGAAGATAGCAGGAGAGGAAGAATGAAGGGGAGCAAGTCAGAGGGGGAGACGAACCAGGAGAGATGATGGACTCTGAAAAACAAACTGAGGTTTCTAGAGGGGAGGAGGGTAGGGGGATGGGTTAGCCTGGTGATGGGTATTAAAGAGGGCACATTCTGCATGGAGCACTGGGTGTTATAAACAAACAATGAATCATGGAACATTACACCAAAACAAATGATGTAATATATGGTGATTAACATAACAATAAAAAATTTAAAAAAAGATAAAAAGCTTTTGCACAGCAAAAGAAACAGTCCACAAAACCAAAAGACAACTGATAGAATGGGAGAAGATATTTGCAAATGACATATCAGGTAAAGGGCTAGTATCCAAAATCTATAAAGAACATATTAAACTCAACACCCAAAGAACAAATGATCCAATCAAGAAATGGGCAGAAGACATGAACAGACATTTCTGCAAAGAAGACATCCAAATGGCCAACAGACACAGGAAAAAGTGTTCAACATCACTCGGCATCAGGGAAATCCAAATCAAAACCTCAATGAGATACCACCTCACACCCGTCAGAATGGCTAGAATTAACAAGTCAGGAAACGACAGATGTTGGCAGGCATGCGGAGAAAGGGGAATCCTCCTATATTGTTGGTGGGAATGCAAGCTGGTGCAGCCACTCTGGAAAACAGTATGGAGAGGTTCCTCAAAAAGTTGAAAATAGAGCTATCTAAGACCCAGCAATTGCATTACTGGGTATTTACCCCAAAGATACAAATGTAGGAATCCGAAGGGGTACGTGCACCCCGATGTTTATAGCAGCAGTATCCACAATAGCCAAACTGTAGAAAGAGCCAAGATGTCCATCGACAGATGAATGGATAAAGAAGATGTGGTATATATATATACAATAGAATATTATGCAGCCATCAAAAGGAATGAGATCTTGCCATTTGCAACGACGTGGATGGAACTGGAGGGTATTATGCTGAGCGAAATAAGTCAATCAGAGAAAGACATGTATCATATGACCTCACTGATATGAGGAATTCTTAATCTCAGGAAACAAACTGAGCGTTGTTAGAGTGGTGGGGGGTGGGAGGGATGGGGTGGCTGGGTGATAGACATTGGGGAGGTTATGTGCCATGGTGAATGCTGTGAATTGTGTAAGACTGATGAATCACAGACCTGTACCTCTGAAACAAATAATACATTATACATTTAAAAAAAAAAAGAAGATAGCAGGAAGGGAAAAATGAAGGAGGGGAAATCGGAGAGGGAGATGAACCATGAGAGACTATGGACTCTGAGAAACAAACTGAAGGTTCTAGAGGGGAGAGGGGTGGGGGAATGGGTTAGCCTGGTGACGGGTATCAAAGAGGGCATGTACTGAATGGAGCACTGGGTGTTATACACAAACAATGAATCATGGAACACTACATCAAAAACTAATGATGTAATGTATGGTGATTAACATAACATAATAAAAAAATAAAGCTACTAAAAAAGAAATACATGATATGAAAAATAAAAATGAAAACGTATTTTCTCACGGACCTTTGCTTTTTGAATATTTTTTTCAACATTTTATGCAATCTGCTGGCTTTATATAAATTTCACACTAGGGAGGTGTAGGTGGCTCAGTTGGTTAAGCGTCTGCCTTCAGCTCAGGTCATGATCCCAGAGTCCTGGGATCTAATCCTAGTCCCACATCTGGCTTCTGCTTAGCGGGGAACCTGCTTCTCCCTCTGCCTGCTCTCTCTGAGGCTCCCCCTGCTTGTGCTCTCTGTCTCTCTGACAAATAAAATCTTAAAAAAAATATATTTCACACTAATTTAGTTAGATCTTGCTGTCATTCTGCTTTGTTCTGTTTATGTATGTGATCATGAACATCTCTCTCTGTCCCTCTTATTTTATTTACAATTTTTTCATTTTGTGGTTAGATCTTGGTTTCTCCATATTATCATTCTTTTTGCTCAATGTCCTTATAGTTTTTACTTTTCTCTGACACAGGCTAGCTTTGGTGAATGTAAAAATAGTGAACATGAGTGATATTTTAGTGAAATCTTACAGATAAATAAAAGTTGAAGTGGAGAAGAGGTATAGGAAACATTTTAAGAAGCACTAAAAATACATTGACATTGGTTACCAAAGTGTGTGGGTGTTTTAAGGACAGAAAGAACTTTGGGGATAATGTCTTTATAATGGACTGATTAATAATAGCCTCATTCTTCAAAATAGTTAGAAAAGTAAAAGTAAACCTTAAAAAGTAATCATACACCCATACTCTAACAATAGTACTTTATAATTTTACTTCCTGTAAATACTACTGATAAAATATTTAAAGCTATGTAGTTTGATAGGTTTTAGAATTTATTATATCTCTATTAGTTATAAAAACTTGGCATCTTATTAAAAAGCCCTAACAACTAAAATTGCTAATAAGTGCTTTTCATTGGTGGTTTGTCCCAAATTTTTAAGGATATATATATGTATCAGTTGATTTGTTAATATTAACCAATGATAAACATAATCAATTCTACTTTCAAAAAGATTAGAGGCAATGCAGTCCTGTGAATGCATGTAAACTTTTAGAGTCAATTTTCCACTTGGTTCTCAACATATAGAAATGTTATTGAATATCAACTAAGTGGTGACTCATTTGGATGGAAAGTATTCTGGATGCTGCTGAAGGGGATGGGACTGCCAAAGTCAGTCACTTCACTCAGCGGCTGCTTCAGAAGCAGACAAATATAAACTACAGTCAGGTCTTAATGCCTCACACCCCAGAAGATAGCACTGCATTGAGAGTTTAGAAGTCATACTATTCACCCTCTAAAACACACATTTATAGTCAGTTTGCTGGTTTACTCATCCTTTACCAGTGAGGTATATAGTATTTAGTAGCAAAAAAAGAGTTATCAAATATATTTCTGTTAAGTGATGTATTTTGGTATTGGGGAATTTGACATAAGGCTTAGACAGAGATGTGAAACTGCTATGCAGAGTAATTACACTCAGGACCTGGAAGATCTTAGTTCCTAGGCATGCCTGAAGACCATGTTTGCCTTTCAGAGAAAGTCCTGTTGCATGGAGAATTTGCAGAATGCTTTCTCTCTTTATGTCAGAAACCTACTTCTTGAAAACATTTAGCTAGGTCTTAGCAAAGAAACAGCTCAAACCCAAGGAAAATGCACCCCCTCCTTTTTTTTTTTTTTTTTTTTGGCAAAGTGCTTTCAAAGACCTCACCTGGTATAGCTGGCATAGAGTGGATCTCAGTTGTTATTACTACACATTTCTAAGGAGAATTTCAAAGCATCAGAGCATAGGATCCCTTGAGGTGCAGAAATCAATGTGGTTGATATGAAAAAACAAAAAATTTCTTTTGTTCTTGCCTAACACTGACTTCTGCGGTTAATTAGGGCATAAAGTTGCTCACTGAATTAAACAAATAATGTCTTTTAAAAAATGCTTTGTTTTTGCTACAACTATTGGGACAGATGACTTTGATGCTTTAAAAGGACTACCCACAAATCTATTCAATATTTTAAACATGTCTCTATGTTTGTGTCTTAATTTTTATTATTTGAAGAGTTAGTTTCTTCAGGCAATTTAAAGAGATCACAGGAAATAAGTAGAAATGTGATATTCTTCAAATCATTCATGTCTCAGTTTTTATTTATTTAGATTTACTGCAATATATGAAGCAATCTGCCCATCCTTAGGCTGTTTGCTAAAAATAATATCTAAAATTTGAACATTTTGACATTCTCTACTTTTACTATATATATATATATATTATATATATATAACAATTGGGAACTTACTTTCATTCCATAAAAAGAAAATGTATGAATCTTGTCAGGTAGAATATGGATATTTTCCTTTTTATTTTCATAATTTTTAAATTTTATCGTTAAGTATTTCCTAACCTCATGAGATTTTTAAAGGCCATTTTTTTTTCAATCTTCATGGTACCTGCTAAATCCCAAGTTTAAATTGATCCAGAAAATGTGTTTAAGATTTAGCATTTGAGTTTTCTATGACTCTTGTCAGACACAGAGTAGAGTGCAGGAGTTAATGAGATACTGACACCAGTGGAAACTGTAGGGGGGGGGTATCTAATGTCACATGATCATTGGCATTCTTTCTTCTGACAGGGTCTCTCTGAGAGTCAGTGAAACATATCAGTAAGTGCCTACTAGAGTCAAAGCAGAGGTGAAAGGCCCGCAGAGCCAGGACATCACAGCTGTGTTCCTGACCACTCTATTTCTCCAGCTGGTGAGATCCCAAGGCACAGATGTAAGTACTGCAGCCTGCGAGCTTGTGTGACCTATGTTTGTGCTGTCCCATTGTGGAACAAAGTGGAATAAAGTAGAATTTGCTACAGGAAAGCTATGTAGGAAGTGGGAGAGTTTTGGAATGTTGCAGAAAATAATTGACTTTGGGATCTGCGTTAATTCATATCTAATGTTAACTTTATTCTACAAGTGAAGATAGGAATGGATCAGAATGAGAATGGGTCAAAATATTTCTTATGTAGAATGTGATTTTTTTAATCCTTAGATATTTTAAGGACTATTTAATTCTTTTTCGACAATATAAAACGTGGTCCTCCCCCTCTTATCTCTACATGTATTACCTAACTGGTTAGCAATGAATTATCCAAAGGTTAAATTTCCTCATCTTTCAGTTAAGTGTAATAAAGAAAAAGTTTATTGCTTTGAGAATATGATTATTTTTCTATCAAAATAAATCCAGGTTTATATTTGCAGATTTATTTTCTTGTTTTACTTTGTTATACAGATTTTCAATTAAAATACAACTAAACAAAATCCAGTTAGAGAGGAAAAGGACCTTAAGACAAAATTTACCTTATAAATTGGCACTTTGGTAGAAAGAGTATTTATTGAAAATCAAATGTCACTATGTTTATACAGTTTATCATTATTTGCTAATGGTTCAAATCACATTTCCTGACATTCTAATGTAACTGAATGGTGAAATATTAAGATATTTTAAAAACCCAAGTTTCAAATCTATTTAGGAGGAACAGTTATCTGTTCTCTCTACACTTACCAAAAATATTCTTTTGGGAAAAATGTTTTCTCCTCTTTAATCACTATGTATTTTTTTAATTTCTAGGGGAGAGAGTTTATTAGGTATTCTTTGAAAGATATTGTTCATATGAGTTAAGTGGAGGTGAAGGATAATATATTTGGATAAATATAAATAAGCTATATATAATATTATACTTGAACTAAATATATATTTACATAAATTACATGTTTAAGTATAATATATAATATTTTAATATACATATATATTTATTTGAGCTAGATTACATTTAATATATTTTATACTTGTTTATTCACACATTTATAAGATTCATATTTATTTTAATTAAAGGCTATCATTTATTTGCTCTCTGACCTTGGGAATGCCGTTTATGCTCTTGGAGCTTCAGTTTACCTCATCTACAAATAGAAAGGACCACTGTGCAGCATTGTTGTTAGAATTACAAGTTATATCCCCCTCATTTAATGTTACTCCCAAAACTCCCTTTCTTTGGATCCTGTGATTTCTGCATTTTCCTCACACTCTAAAAACAAGGTCATGACCCACTGACTTTAAAGTTCAAGGGATAATGTAGATGAATGAGTGGGGTCTGACAAAGGCTTGTGGCAGATGTGGAGTTTGTCAAATTGGAACGTGTGTGTCCTTACTAAAGAGGAAGTTACTGTATTTGGTGTCAATAAAGTTGCCACTGGGCATAAAACAGGCATTAAAAGTGATCAGACATAATTTTTCAAAAGCTAATATAAATCTATTTTTTAGATGGGTATGGAATATATACATTTTTAAATTTGGCAATGAATGCAATTAAAAAAGTGAAACATAACTCTCCCATAAATGGTAGTGGACCATTATTTAATTGTGTAGGATCTCTGTTTAAGTCATTACAAAGAGAAATGTAAAAAAAATTTTCCTAATAGTTCCAGATAAATATTTACTTTAACTTGCTTATTTCAGATGATCATTTGTTTAGCTGTCGCTGTTACTTCATGATAAATATAATGTTATTTTCATGTCTCGTGAAACATTGAATAGGATTTGAGCTGTGTTCTTTGCTGCAGCCCTCAAAAATGAGCGAGGAGAGAGTGACATACATGAACCTGAAATTACCCTATTCGAGGAAACAGAAGGGTGAAAGATGTCCAATGAATAGAAGGAGAGGTAAAGGGTTTTGTTTGTTTTTTTGTTTCTGAAAACATTATGATGTCAAGTAAGAAAAAGTAAAATCATGATAATTGTGTCTATACATTTTGATATTATATATCTGTTCTTTACATATGAAGAGGTATATTTAAATGTAATATTTAATGAGACTTGTGACCAGAGTAAATAGTGATATTCATTTTAGTTCCAGAATGAATTTCCATTTTGTTCTAAATTTTAGGGCCTTTCTAGGCTCAATGCTTACTGTACATTTTGCTTTCTGATTTTGTATAGAATTTCCATGGCATATTGTTGCATTATCCCTGGGAGTTATATGTGTTATCTTCCTGCTGACAATCACAGGCTTAATAAATATGCGTGAGTATCAGGTACACAGTTCTTATGAGAACAATGAGCCAGAGTGGAAAATGAGATGCTGTAATCACTGAACTTCTGCTGAACTTTGTAAATCATAAAATCATGGAACATTACATCAAAAACTAATGATGTATTGTATGGTGACTAACATAACATAATAAAATTAAATTAAATTAAAAAAAGTAATAGAAGATTTGCAGAATCCTAATTAATCTTATAAGGATCCATTGTAAGACACTGTAAAAAAATCATAAAGTCCTATAGAAATGTTAGTAATTATGATGGTGTTGATGATAATATTGAGGATGATGATTTTATTATTTTGCTATCACTTAGGTTTTATACCACACAAAATAGTGTAAGCAATAGCAGTAATGGCAGAAAATTTGGCTGAAATGTACAGTGAGTCTTACATATATATTCATTCTTATATTTTGTGTGGAAGGAGGTTTTCCATATTATCAGAGAATTGGAAAAATCTTTATTTGAATTTGACATTCTTTATCATATTGCAATACTGCTTAAATCACAAGGGGAATATAAAGTTGATCTATTTTCTATATCACTTTTTATAGATTTCATATCAATTTTTTAAACAATGTGTATAGAATACTTGTTTTTAATATCCTTTTCCTGATGTTTATTACTCTTTGTTTCATTCATTCAACAACAATTTTGAGTATCTTTGCTGGGTCAGGAACTATGGATGGCACTGAAGAAATAAATTTTAGAAAGTGAGCTCTCAATGAGCTCCGTTTTAAGGGGAAGATTTTTTTTTAAATGAAGCTGTTTTTAAAATAAATATTATTAGTGCTGCAATAATGGCATGAAGATATCAGATGGGTGGGCTATTCCATGCTGAGGTCAAGAAACTTTCCTCTAGGAGATAGTAATTGACATGATATAAAATATAGGTAGGGTGTAATCAGGAAATTCATGGTAGAGAAGACTCTTCCAGGCAGAACAGCATGAACAGAAGAACATATTGATGTGTTAGGAGAATTTCAGTTTTGGGTAAATAAAAGAAGTATGTAGAAATGGGTTTCATTAGATATGCAATTTATGGTAATTTTAATATCATGTTAGGAAATTTTAGATCTGTCCTAAAAACAAAAAAGAAACTATTGGAAGATTTATCTGAGGGCAAAACAGGACTCATGTCCCATGAACAGATAGGGATTTTGGAAAGGTCAATCTGTATAGACTGGAAAGTGAGGGAAGGGACAAGATAGGAGGATGTTTCAGGAATCAGGGTTAGTTAGAATGACTAAATTAGGGGCGCCTGGGTGGCTCAGTCATTAAGCATCTGCCTTCGGCTCAGGTCATGATCCCAGGGTCCTGAGATCGAGCCCTGCATTGGGCTCCCTGCTCAGCCGGAAGCCTGCTTCTCCCTCTCCCACTCCCCCTGCTTGTGTCCCCTCTCTTGCTCTCTCTCTCTCTGTCAAATAAATAAATAAAATATTTAAAAAAAAGAATGACTAAATTAGTGTCATGAAAGAAGTAATGAAGGGTAGGGACCACATATGGGAAATATTTAATGTGTAGCATTGTTAAGATTATGCCTTTTATTGATTGTGTGAGGGAAACAAGTGAATCAGTGTTACCATTTGACATCGGGCTCTACACCTTGGTAAATATATTCCACTAAATGTTTTAGAAGACATAAGAGGGACATTACGGTATGATTTAGGGTGTGTGTGTGTGTGTGTGTGTGTGTGCGTGTGTGCTAATAATGGTGAAGAGTGAGGTGCTGGTGGCATATCATTGGAGGTTACCAAAAAGAATTAGATTAGTCTGAGTCTTCCAAAGTGAGTTTTTGCAGTAGACACAGAGTATCTGCACATATAGGATAGAATCAGAAGTCTGAAGATCAAGAGATATGCCTAGATTAGAGATATGAATTGTTTATTCAACAACTAAAGGAACAAGTATTCAAAAACATAGTAGAGGAAAGAAGCTAGACCATGTGTCACCTTGTAAAACCAGGGAGACTAGATTATGCTAGAACAAGGGTGAGAAGGATGATTCTTAGGATAAATCAACATTTAGAAGTAAGTGTGAGAGGAGCAAATAGTGAAAAACAGTGATGGTTTGGTTAAACAAGGAAGGGATCCAAAACATTATGGCATCATATGGAGAGGAGGTTAAAGATAGTTATGGGTTTCAAGTAGTACAGAAAGACAAAGTATTATGATAGTGAAAGGTATGCTTATTATATTTGTCAAACAGAGAGGCCACTAATGACATTTTCTAGAGTAGATTCAGCAAAATGGTAGGTTGGGTCAAAGCTTCATTACAGTGACTGAAACTTATTCAAACATTAGGAAGTTGAGAAAATGAGTAGAGAAAACTATTTTTTGAATTATGGCTAAGCAAAAAATTTCCCATGTGTTGAAAATATGTGGATATATATGATCTCATACATTGTAGAGGGACTATAAACTGACACAAGTACTTTGTCAGTTTGGTATTATCTCCTAAACCTGAACATGAGTCAGTCATTTGCAGCCTAAGTATATGTCCAACAGATACACTTGCACATGCACAGATATGCACTTCTACGGACTGTTTATAGCAGTGCTGTTTACTATCAAACACCTCAGAAATACATAAATGACCACTAATGGGAGAGTAAATGAAACCTCAGTAATTTATTTCCCAATGCAGTTTATGTAGCAGTTAAAATAAACTACAGTGATATACAACGATGTGGATGAAATTTATGAAGATAATATGAAATGAAAAAAGAGCAAGAGCACAAAAGTTCTTGTATATCATACTTTCTTACAAACTTAAATAGTTAAAAACAAATAAATAGTAATATTTCAGGAAATACATAAGGAGACAATAAAAGTATATGTAAAATTTATCAAGGGGTGATTGTAATGGGCTTTAGTAACACTGAGAGAGGTAGGAAGAAGGGATGAAATAAAGTATAAAGGTAGGTAAATGTAATAGTTAAGGAGCTAGCTACAGTATTTGGTGGTTAACATATTGGCTAAATAAATAAGAAAAATAAAGGTTCTGAGAGCAAATTTGAGAGTGTTTCATGAATAAAGTATTATGAACAACCTTATGCAATCCCCAATCTAAGAGTTAAAAAAACAATTCTCTTACAAAAAATATGAAGAATAAAGGATAGGAAATTTTGTGGGAGAGGTGACTTGAGATGAGCATAATGCAAGAGAAGGGAACCATGAGAAGGAAAATGTTGAGGGTCCAAGAGAGAAATATAATAGTAGGAGATCACAGTCACTAAAGATTCAATAGGGGATGAAATCAAGACCAGGGGTTGAAGTTTCAGACTTACTCAGTGAAAAGCAATATTTTTTTCCGAGATAGAATGAGGGATACCTGTGTATTTATAGGAGGTGAGGCAGGATTTTGAGAGGAATGTACACTTGCTGGTGACTGTTTCCATGTGAAATAACACATGAGGCCATCTTCTGAGGGGGAGCATCAAGGAGGTGCACTAGATAACTTAGGAAAAGTATAAATACTTGAAATAGCTGTTGATGAGAAAAGAGTGTGAGTCAATAACTATACTGTGTAATGTTGAGGTGAAATATTGATGAGAAGCATAAGTGTTGGTCAGCATTAAACCATATGGGTACAGTTTTGTGATTTTTGGTCATCTGACTTTTAGAAGCCTTGTAGAGATGAGATGGTGAATGCCAAGAGTATCCAAGGTTGGTTTATTTTGTATGTTTTTTATTTTATTTTTTATTTTTTAAGTAGCCTCACACCCAACATGGGGCTTTAACCTAAGACCCTGAGATAAAGAGTCACATGCTCTACCCACTGAGCCAGCCATGTATCCCAATGAATTTGGTTATTTTTAGATGTTCATAAAGACTATGTTGTAAGTTTCTTGGAGGTCCCGCCAAAATTAATTTTGTACCATGTGTCCTTGGATAGTCAGTAAGGAAAGGACAAGGGAATTAATTAGTCACAAGATCTTGTAGTATTTAGGTGTCAGAGGTCTTTTTTTTTTTTAAGATTTTATTTATTTATTTGAAAGAGAGAAAGATAGAGATAGCAACAGAGCACAAATGGGGAGGTGAGGGAGAAGCAGGCTCCCCATTGAGCAGGGAGCCTGTCATGCCACTCCAACCCAGGACCCTGGGATCATGACCTGAACTGAAGGCAGATGCTTAACCGACGGAGCCACCCAGGCATCCTTAGGTATCAGAGGTCTTAACATGTCTTGTTTATTTTTAAATTTATTTACTTATTTTAGCGACTGAGAGATCTTGTGCAGGGGGAGGGACAGAAGGAGAACTAGCAAGCAGACTCCATGTTGTGCATGGTGCTGGTGGTGGGGCTCAAACCCAGGACCCTGAGATCATGATCTGAGTTGAAACCAAGAGTTGGAGGCTTAACTGACTGAGCCACTCAGGTGCTCCTTAATGTGTCTTTTTAATTCAAAACCAGTATATGAACATTGGAATGGATGGCTCAGTTAAAGCAATAGTTATATTTATTGCAACTGACTATATTAAGAGACTGTGCAATTTATGTTGTTGGATATTTACAAGTAGCCAAGAATTTGACTGAATAATGATGGGTCATAGCAGATTTGAAAATGAACGTTATCAGTTATTTAACAAATCTTTAAAGGATTTTTCTTCTAATGTTCACACACTGAAAGAGCCATATACTTCATGTTTTTACATTTTTATTTGTGAGTTTGGGAAAATATTGCTATTTCTCTCAGAGATTTTTAACTTTCCTTTTGCATATTAGAAGGAGCCATCTGAGCCCATACTCCATGCACATTCAATGAATCAATTATAAGTTTATTCTAGAGAAGAGCCAAATCCCTGTATTTAGCTTTATATGCAAAAACTAAATACAAAATAATATACTGAATACTCAATTTCACCAACTTTGAAATCTTTATTTCAAGTGTAGATGACATAGAAACTAGTAATGTATTTGATTTCCTGTTTTTATTTTCTGTTTTATAAAAGTTGATTACTATTTTACATACTTAACAAGTAATAGATAGCAAATAAAGTTGTATAATAAAAATCTGTTTTATGTTCTGACACTTCATAGTATTTTATCCTCACATTTCCTCTGATGGTACATTCATTTAGTCAACAGCATTCACCACATAATTTAAATGAGAGTAAGTGATTATAATAAAGTGGCCTATTAAAGGCATTCATGACCTTAACTTTCTAATATGGGTTAAAGTTTTTCAGAGGTGTTCTGGAAACACAATGCAAGATATGAAAGACATAAAAGACAAAAATGCTTCCTTTGCAGAATTTGAAGGTCACTTAATTTTACCATCTATTACAGGTATGTACTGAATACTTATGCTGTTAGTTACAGATTTTTTTAAATATATAATTTTAAATTTTTAAATATTTTTTAAAAATATATAATTTTAAAACTTTACATTGTATTTTGTCAGGGCCTTTAATTTTGCTCACCTTTTAAAATCAAATCATTTTCTTTACTATAGGTAATTGAACTCAACTTTCACAAAGTCATGTTGATGTGATTATTTGAGTAATTTATCCTCATGAATGAATTTTCCCCAATATATATCCTTTGGAATTAATACCATCCCTGTACATTCCACTGGTGGATTTCTCCCAGAAGGGAGAACTGCTCCATGTTGCTGCCATGCATTTGGCCTTTGGAAGTCAAGATTTCTCAGTGCAATCCTAACAATGGCCTGAAGTCTGTCAGAGACAGTCCCTGGCTCCACAATTTGGCCAAAGAGCTATTGCCAGCATTAGATTTCTGGGAGTCAGAAATACCACCTATTTTTTTTTTTTTTTTGGTTATTCAGTCTGAACTAAGCAATGAGATATATAGAAGGTGCAGGTCTCTAAGTGTTCTTGTGGTTGAAGATCATGGTGGATTTTGTTTTTAAGATAAAGACTATATCAGTCTTGAAGAAAAAATGTCCTGCTGTGGAAGAAGCTGTTACTATTTTTCAAAGGAAGAGAAGACTTGGGAGAGGAGTAAGGAGTCATGCCAAGACATGCGTTCTAGTCTCATAGGGATTGATAATAAAGAGGAGCAGGTATGTCTACTTTATAAAACTTGAGTAAATGTTTTATGAGAAGTTCCTGTATCTTGAGTTAGGATAATTACTTAGACTTTCCTCCAGTACTATTTGGCCACTTTGTGTTGAAGCACTTGCTAACTGGTGGAGATTGCTTTGCAGAGGAGACACAGGTGCAACAGAGACCTAGAAGAACCATTGTTTTATTTTTTATTTTATTTTATTTTTTTTAATTTTTTTAATGTTATGTTAATCATCATATATTACATCATTAGTTTTTGGTGCAGTGTTCCATGATTCATTGTTTGTTCATAACACCCAGTGCTCCATGCAGAACGTGCCCTCCTCAATACCCATCACCAGGCTAACCCATCCCCCTACCCTCCGCCCCTCTAGAAACCTCAGTTTGTTTTTCAGAGTCCATCATCTCTCATGGTTCGTCTCCCCCTCTGACATACTCCCCTTTTCTTCCTCTCCTGTTATCTTCTTCTTTTTCTTTTTTCTTAAAATATGTTGCGTTATTTGTTTCAGAAGTACAGATCTGTGATTCAACAGTCTTGCACAATTCACAGCGCTCACCGTAGCACATACCCTCCCCAATGTCTATCACCCAGCCACCCCATCCCTCCCACCCCCAACCACTCCAGTAACACTCAGTTTGTTTCCTGAGATTAAGAATTCCTCATATCAGTGAGGTCATGTGATACATGTCTTTCTCTGATTGACTTATTTCACTAAGCATAACACCCTCCAGTTCCATCCACGTCGTTGCAAATGGCAAGACCTCATTCCTTTTGATGGCTGCATAATATTCCATTGTGTATATATACCACCTCTTCTTTATCCATTCATCTGTCGATGGACATCTTGGCTCTTTCTACAGTTTGGCTATTGTGGACATTGCTGCTATAAACATTGGGGTGCACGTACCCCTTCGGATCCCTACATTTGTATCTTTGGGGTAAATACCGAGTAGTGCAATTGCTAGATTGTATGGTAGCTCTATTTTCAACTGTTTGAGGAACCTCCACACTGTTTTCCAGAGTGGCTGCATCAGCTTGCATTCCCACCAACAGTGTAGGAGGGTTCCCCTTTCTCCACATCCCCGCCAACATCTGTCGTTCCCTGACTTGTTAATTTTAGCCATTCTGACTGGTGTGAGGTGGTATCTCATTGAGGTTTTGATTTGGATTTCCCTGATGCCGAGCGATGTGCAGCACTTTTTCATGTGTCTGTTGGCCATTTGGATGTCTTCTTTGAAAAAACGTCTGTTCATATCTTCTGCCCATTTCTTTATTGGATTCTTTGTTCTTTGGGTGTTGAGTTTGATAAGTTCTTTATAGATTTTGGATACTAGCCCTTTACCTGATATGTCATTTGCAAATATCTTCTCCCATTCTGTCGGTTGTCTTTTGGTTTTGTGGACAGTTTCTTTTGCTGTGCAAAAGCTTTTTATCTTGATGAAGTCCCAAGAATTCATTTTTGCCCTTGCTTCCCTTGCCTTTGGCAATGTTTCTAAGAAGAAGTTGTTGTGGATGAGGTCGAAGAGGTTGCTGCCTGTGTTTTCCTTTAGGATTTTGATGGACTCCTGTCTCACACTGAGGGCTTTCAACCATTTCCAGTCTATTTTTGAGTGTGGTGTAAGGAAATGGTCCACTTTCATTCTTCTGCATGTGGCTGTCTAATTTTCCCAACACCATTTGTTGAAGAGATTGTCTTTTTTCCATAGGACATTCTTTCTGGCTTTGCCAAAGATGAGTTGACCATAGAGTTGAGGGTCCATTTCTGGGCGCTCTATTCTGTTCCATTGATCTATGTGTCTGTTTTTGTGCCAATAGTATATTGTCTTGATGATGACAGCTTTGTAATAGAGCTTGAAGTCCGGAATTGTGATGCCGCCAGCTTTGCATTTTCTTTTTCAACATTCCCCTGGCTATTCAGGGTCTTTTCTGATTCCACACAAATTGTACGATTATTTGTTCCATTTCTTTGAAAAAAATGGTTGGTATTTTGATAGGGATTGCATTGAATGTGTAGATTGCTCTAGGTAGCATCGACATCTTCACAATATTTGTTCTTCCAATCCCTGAGCATGGAATGTTTTTCCATTTCTTTGTGTCTTCCTCAATTTCTTTCATGAGTATTTTATAGTTTTCTGAGTACAGATCCTTTGCCTCTTTGGTTAGATTTATTCCTAGGTATCTTATGGTTTTGGGTGCAATTGTAAATGGGATAGACTCCTTAATTTCTCTTTCCTCTGTCTTGTTGTTGGTGTATAGGAATGCCACTGATTTCTGTGCATTGATTTTATATCCTACCACTTTACTGAATTCCTGTATGAGTTCTAGCAGTTTTGGGGTGGAGTCTTTTGGATTTTCCACATAAAATGTCATATCATCTGCAAAGAGTGAGAGTTTGATTTCTTCTTTGCTGATTAGGATGCCTTTTATTTCTTTTTGTTGTCTGATTGCCGTGGCTAGGACTTCTAATACTATGTTGAATAGCAGTGGTGATCGTGGACATTCCTGCCATTTTCCTGACCTTATGGGGAAAGCTCTCAGTTTTTTCCCCATTGAGAATGATATTCGCTGTGTGTTTTTCATAGATGGCTTTTATGATACTGAGGTATGTACCCTCTATCCCTATACTCCGAAGAGTTTTGATCAAGAAAGGATGCTGTACTTTGTCAAATGCTTTTTCTGCATCTATTGAGAGGATCATATGATTCTTGTTCTTTCTTTCATTAATGTGTTTTATCACATTGATTGATTTGTGGATGTTGAACCAACCTTGCAGCCCAGGGATAAATCCCACTTGGTCGTGGTGAATAATCCTTTTAATGTACCATTGGATCCTATTGGCTAGTATTTTGGTGAGAATTTTTGCATACATGTTCATCAGGGATATTGGTCTGTAATTCTCCTTTTTGATGGGGTCTTTGTCTGGTTTTGTGATCAAGGTAATGGTGGCCTCATAAAACGAGTTTGGAAGTTTTCCAACCATTTCTACTTTTTGGAAGAGTTTCAGAAGAATAGGTATTAATTCTTCTTTAAATGTTTGGTAGAATTTCCCTGGGAAGACATCTGACCCTGGGCTCTTGGGAGATTTTTGATGACTGCTTCAATTTCCTTAGTGGTTATAGGTCTGTTCAGGTTTTCTATTTCTTCCTGGTTCAGTTTTTATAGTTGATACATCTCTAGGAATGCATCCATTTCTCCCAGATTTTCTAATTTGCTGCATATAGTTGCTCATAATATGTTTTTATAATTGTTTGTGTTTCTTTGGTGTTGGTTTTGATCGCTCCTCTTTCATTCATGATTTTGTTGATTTCGGTCATTTCTCTTTTCTTTTTGATAACTCTGGCCACGGGTTTATCAATCTGGTTAATTCTTTCAAAGAACCAGTTCCTAGTTTAGCTGATCTGTTTTACTGTTCTTTTCATCTCTCTTTCATTGATTTCTGCTCTGATCTTTATTATTTCTCTTCTTCTGCTGGGTTTAGGCTTTATTTGCTGTTTTTTCTCTAGCTCCTTTAGGTGTAGGGTGAGGTTGTGTATGTGAGACCTTTCTTGTTTCTTGAGAAAGGCTTGTATTGCTATATACTCTCCTCTTAGGACTGCCTTTGCTGCATCCCAAAGATTTTTGAACAGTTGTGTTTTCATTTTCATTGGTTTCCATGAATTTTTAAAATTCTTCTTTAATTTCCTGGTTGACCCATTCATTCTTTAGTAGGATGCTTTTTAGCCTCCATGTAGTTGAATTCTTTCCAACTTTTCTCTTGTGATTGAGTTCTCGTTTAAATGCACTGTGGTCTGAAAATATGCAGGGAATGATCCCAATCTTTTGGTACCGGTTGGGACCTGATTTGTGACCTAGGATATGATCTATTCTGGAGAATGTTCCATGGGCACTAGAGAAGACTGTGTATTCTGTTGCTTTGGGGTGGAATGTTCTGAATATATCTGTGAAGTCCATTTGGTCCAGTGTATCATTTAAAGTCTTTATTTCCTTGTTGATCTTTTCTTAGATGATCTACCCATTTCAGTGAGGGGGGGTGTTAAAGTCCCCTGCTATTATTGTATTGTTGTCAATGTGTTTCTTTGCTTTTGTTATTAATTGGGTTATATAATTGGCTGCTCCCATGTTAGGGGCATAGATATTTACAATTGTTAGATCTTCTTGTTGGATAGACCCTTTAAGTAGGATATAGTGTCCTTCCTCATCTCTTATTACAGTCTTTGGTTTAAAATCTAATTTGTCTGATATAAGGATTGCCACCCCAGCTTTCTTTTGGTGTCCATTAGCATGGTCAATGGTTTTCCACCCCCTCACCTTCAATCTGGAGGTTTTTTTGGGTCTAAAATGAGTCTCTTGCAGACAGCATACTGATGGGTCTTGTTTTTTTTTAATCCAATCTGATAGCCTGTGTCTTTTGATTGGGGCATTTAGCCCATTACATTCGGGGTAACTATTGAAGATTGAATTTAGTGCCATTGTATTGTCTGTAAGGTGACTGTTACTGTATATTGTCTGTGTTTTTCTGGTCTATGTTGCCTTTAGGCTCTCTGTTTGCTTAGAGGACCCCTTTCAATATTTCTTGTAGGGCTGGTTTTGTGTTTTCAAGTTTCTTTAGTTTTTGTTTGTCCTGGAAGCTTTTTATCTCTCCTTCTATTTTCAATGACAGCCTAGATGGATATAGTGTTCTTGGCTGCATATTTTTCTCATTTAGTGCTCTGAAGGTATCATGCCAGTCCTTTCTGGCCTGCCAGGTCTCTGTGGATAGGTCTGTTGTCAATCTAATGTTTCTACCGTTGTAGTTTACAGATCTCTTGTCCCAAGCTGCTTTTCAGGATTTTCTCTTTGTCTCTGAGACTCATAAGTTTTACTATCATTTATGATAGCCTTGCTGTCAGGATCTAAACTGGAATACTGATGCATATACAAACCCTGCAACAGACTTTGCTGTACAACAGCATTACTCTTACCCTAATGGTTTAGAATTTTAGTCTTTTTCTGCTTTACCACACCCAAGATTGTGATGAAAGCAGTGCCTTAAATCCATTGGTACTGAAAACTGAGATTGGCTTTTATACATTTATGTATACCCCTAAATCTAACAAAAGTATGTGAGTGAAAGTATCAATGAACATTTAATTTTAGTGTTTCTTCAGTGACCTAGAAAGGATAATGCATAGTTTTGTGATGCTTATATAATACCCCCCATTTTACCTACTCTAAAAGATGCAGTCTTAAGATTTTTTTCTTATACAATTTAATTACAGTGAAAAAATTTTGGAGTGTGTGTGTGTGTGTGTATGTGTATGTGTGTGTGTGTAGAGAAAGTGAGAGTGTGAGAGAGGGGGATTAGATTACATTGCTTTTAGGAAAGAACATTAATTTGTTGCTTCACATTTGCATCCATAAGAGACATTTGAAATGAATAAAATATGTCAATTGGAATAATGATTACAAAGAATTTACAGGTTTTTATGTTAAAGATATTTTCGACACTGTATGCATTATTCAGTGCACAAAAATCTTCAAAGCAAACAGTATGGTTCCCTCTGTATAGCAACGAAAATGCTCAAAGTAGTTTTATTTTCTTCAGTGTACGTAGCAAATAAATGGCATAAGCTATTTTAATGCCTGTAGGTATAGTTTCTTATATTCCACAGCTTGGGTATGCCTCATCCATTCTCTAGAGGATGGGAATTTGCATTGTTTCCAGCTTTTGCTGTTATGAATAGTCCTTTGTTAAACACTCTTAGACATGGCTCTGTGCAAAATTGTTCCACATGTCCTCTCTTCTCCATCATAAATCTTCCTATGAATGGTTTATTGGGCAATAGAATTTGTACAAGTTAAATTTTATATGAGAATTCCAAATTATTTTTCAATATGATTTTAGGAACTATTTTAAAGATATTTTTGATCTCTACCATCCCACAAACTTGGTGGTGTTATTTTTACTTTCTGCTAATTGAACAGTTGTAAGATATATCCTTGTGACTTTGATTTGCATTTTCCTGCTCTCTAGTTAGCTTAGCTCTTTCCATATTTATTGGCTACATGCTTTACTTATTTGAAATATGTTCTTATGTTTTGTCCATTTTTTCTTATTGGATCACTTTGTTTTCTTATTGATTTATAGAAATATGTATTTGTTCTTTAAATTATTGCAGATGTCTCAGGATTTGAAGCTTGTCTTTCCACATTCTTTAAGATGTCTTATGATGAAGAGAAATTCTAGGTTTAGTGCAGTCATATTTACCCATCCACTTTATTATATGTGGAGATTTTTAAAAAATCCATCGTGTCCTTTGTTGATATCTTTCAACCAGTCACAAAGACTTGAGTGATTTGTTCATTGAAAACTTTTCATTTCAACTTCTTCTCCACACCGTGGAGAAATTAACTTGCTTCCTCCATTTATCAGAATGGTATTTGAAGATAAAAGTGCCCAGTATTTTATAAGTCCTTTGTGGGTGAGTCGTTTGCATTGATGTTATGAGTAATACGAATAATTCTACTTTTCCACAGAACTTCATTCAATCAAAAATAAAATACAATTATTGGATTGGATTATATAAAGTAGGAGCTAAACATCCCTGGAAGTGGCTGGATGACACACTCTTATCTCAGATGGTGTAAGTTTTCATGTCACAGGAACTGACATGGTAGATTTCCTGCTCTGGAACTTTCCTGCTCAGGAACTGCCTGGTAGATTATAGGTCAAGAATAGGAAAGGATCCTTGGGGACCTAGGGAATATCTTGAATTCCATTTGATCGCGCTTCTCAGATAGGCAACCAAATGCAAATCTCAGGCTTCAGATAGTCCCAAAGAGCATTATTTATTCCCATGTTCTTTATTGGATGATCTTTCCAGACACAGTAACGTGACATTTTGCTTTTATACCTTTCTCTTGTATGTTCTGTGATACTAGCATGTTCAAGTAATGGCTGCAGGAAATGGTAAAACTATAATGAGTGAATAAAACTTGCATCTAAACCAAGCACTCTCTGTGCAACTTGTACCTGTTTGCTCGGTATTATTCAAGAACTAAAAAGAAAAGAGCTTTTTCCAATAAATCATTTAGTAATCTTGTATCTCTAGTGTGATCACTTAGTGTCTTTCGTGCTATTATTTTACACAAATCCACATAAATTCTGGTAGTCTTGTCTCATTGGTAAATCCCATAGATTTGCCGGTTTGTTGTCCAGGAAACTAGAAAATGAAGAAAAATGATTTGTCATAACTAATCTAAGTAACATAAGGGAGATTATGAGAGACATTGGGCTATTTAACATGCTGTTTACTGATTGCCTGTATGCCAGGCACTATTTTAGACATTGAAGCTACAGTGATGAATAAAACAGGCAACAGTATCCTCCCCTTATGGATATTACATTCTAATGCAGGCCTGATAGTGCTGGTGGGGATGAGTGAAGACAAAGCAAATATGCCAAGTAAAGAAGAAGATAAATGCTATGGATTGTTGTGACATTTCTTTTTTCTATATTATAATGTCTTTTGTGTATGAAGATAAGAGGAAGAGATTTTACTGTTTTAAATGGGGGTGCTCAGAGACAGTGTCCTTGAGAAATGATGTTTGTACAGTATCTTGAATGAGCAAGCCCTGTGGATTACCTAATGGGACAGCATCCTAGCAGTAGAAACAGCTAGTGTAAAGACTCTGAGGTAGGAGTGTGTTTAGCTTGCTTGAGGAAATAGGAAAAAGGCCTGCAATGCTAGAGCAAAGTGAAAAAGGGGGAGAGAAGTAGGTCAGAGAGGTAGTGAGGGTGAGAGCAGGAAGGACTTCAGAAGAGTGTAAGTAGTTGGATTTTTTCATGAGGGCAAAGAGTAGGTATTGGAGGGTTTTGAGCAGGGAAGTGACAAGGCAGGTTTCCTATTTCAGAGACTCCTCTGGGCACTCTGTTCAGATTAGATGATGTGTGTTCCTTGGGGTGAGGAGTGGGAGTAAAAGCTGGGATGCAGGAGGCTAAGAATCTGTTGGATTCATCCAGGTGAGATGTAGTGCCTTGATGAAGATGGTAGGGTTTGTGCTGCTGTAAAGTGGCCAGATTCCACACTTCTTTCAAAGATGTGTGAGAAGAAAAAAATATGTGTGAGAGAGGTTGACAATTCAGGGATGTTTCCAAGGTTTTTGGCCCAGTAATTGTAAGAATGATGTAGCCATTAATGTTAATAAGGCATATTTGGAATTCAGTTGTAGATACAAGTTTAATAAATCTATTAACCAGTTAGCTAAGTACAAGGGTGGCACTTGGGAATTGTGATACATGATTAAGAAGTTCAAGTGAGAGGTCTGTGCTAGGGATGCAGATGTTGCATGTCCATTGAAAGAACTGCACATATGTTTTAAATTCGTCATAAATATTACCTAAGAAATGACTTTCTAAAATAAATATATTCTCTGCTGCAGGCATCTCCAACAGAATTTACCAGATATAAAATGTGGATTCCTCAACTCATCAAATATTTTTAGTGCTGATTGTAGTAAACGCTTTCGTTACATTTGTGAAAAGGAGTTCACTGGCCATGATAATTAAAAGAATTATTGTCAAAAAAAATAAAAGAATTATTGTCATCAAAGTTTTAATATTTTCATTCTTTAATAGGTATTAGGAAAAAGCTCAGGATATTGAGTCAAATTAGTCAACTATGCTTGATTTACAAAGGATTATGATCTTTCAAACATCCTTCAGCAATCATAAAAAATAAATTTTATGAATAGTAAATTATACATCCAAAAAATGAACATATTGTTTTGGAAGTTCAAGAACCAATCCATCAAAGAATGTGAAAACAAATTCGTTTTTATTGAGTATAAAATTTTATATTTTAAAATATAATTAATGACCTTGATATATTAGGTAATTAATACATTCACATTGTTCAAAATATGAGATATGAAATAATGAACAATTTCTCTTTACCTATCTTATCCCCTATTCACCTAGTTCTCTTTTCATGGGCAAACATGTAATAGTTTAGATACTATTCAGACATATTCTAGGAAAGTGCAACAATGTACTGTACATGCTATCTTCTAAACAAAATACTACACAACTACAAATAATCGTATTGCTTCTTTAGGTTTTTGTTTAAAAATAAATCATGCAGTTTGTTCCATAGCAGTATCTAAGGAGCTGCATCATCAGTGTTTGTAAGCAGCTGCAAATACTACATTAAATGGATGTACCAAAAAGTTATTTACCAGTTTTATCTCCAATGAATATTTAGGTTTGCCCAGAATTTTATAATTGTTGAAAAATGCTGGAATGATTAACACTCAATACAGTATAATTGGCCATAGAGCATATATCTATATATATCTATATATAGATATATATATATAGTAAATCTCTAGCAGTGAAATTTCTGTGTCAAAGGTGTATATATTACATTTAAATAGACATGTATATATTTCAGTAGAGGTTGTACACCTATCATCTCCACACAGCAACATTCAAGAATTCTGGTTCCTCACTTCTTTACCATCACAGTGTGTTATTGATCTGTTTGATTTTGCCAATAAAACCTTCACCAATAAAAGGGTTTTCTTGTGTTATTTAAATGTACATTTGTCTATTACTTGTGTGAAGGAACATCCCTTTATGGTATTTCTTTTTATTGAAACTATTTGTCCAGGGTCGCCTGGATGGCTCAGTTGGTTAAGCGTCTGACTCTTTATTTCAGCCCAGGTCATGATCTCAGGGTGGTGAGATTGAGCTCTGTGTTGGGCTCCACAATGAGCTTGGAGCTTGCTTGAGTTTTTTTCTTTCTTTCCCTCTGCCCTCCTCCCCTGACCCCACCTCACTCACTGGAGCTCTCTCTCTCTCCAAACAACAGCAACAACAACAGAAAACTATCTCAGGGCACCTGGGTGGCTCAGTCGGTTAAGCATCTGCCTTTGACTGGGGTCATGATCCCTGGGTCCTGGAATCCAGCCCCATGCCCATCTCAGTGGGGAGCCTGCTTCTCCCTCTCCCTCTGCTGCTCTCTCTCTTTGTCAGATAAATACATAAAATCTTAAAACAAACAAAAAAACCAAAAAAATTATCTGTCCATGTCTTTGTGGATTAATATGACAAACCTAATTTTGAGCAAAAGAAACCAGACACAAAAGAGCTCATCCTATAAAATTCCATTTATTTCTAGGTTTCAACACCAGATAAATCTAAATTCGGCTCTTAGAAACTAGGATAAATGTTCCTACCATGTGGATTTATTCCTAAAAGGAACAATATGGGTTATGAATAGTATTTACCATGGTGCAGAGTTAGTCTTAGAAAATAGCAATGTCCAAGGGGCATTTTTCAGGGGCTGATAAAATTGGGTGTAGTAATCTGGGTTCTGGTTACATGGGTGGTATATTTTTTCCTTCAGCTGCCATAAGTACACAACTGGGGTGTCTTTGAACCACATCTATTTGTCTTTTCATAGTTCTGGTGGTTAGCAGTTTAAAATGAAGTTGGCAGGGCCAAGTTCTCTTTGAGACTCTTTACTCTGAGTAAATCCTTCCTTGCCTCTTCCCAGCTTCAGGTGGTTGTGGACAACCCTTGGTGTTTCTTGGCTTGTCTGTATCACTCTTATCTTTGCTTCTGTCATCACATGGCATTCTTTCTCCATGTCACTCTTCAAATATCCCTCTCTTTATAGGGAGACTCATTTGATTAAGCCCTTCCCAATTGACCTCATTTTAACTTAATTATATCTTTAAAGACCCTATTGCAAAATAAGGTCATATTCACAGGTCATGGGAATTAGAATTTCAACATATTTATTTTTACCTTTGTTTCTTGTGATTTTGGTGTCATATCTAAAAAATATTGTTGGGGCACCTGAGTGGCTCAGTCGTTAAGCATCTGCCTTTGGCTCGGGTCGTGATCCCAGGGTGCTGGGATCGAGCCCCGCACTGGGCTCCCTGCTCCACGGGAAGCCTGCTTCTCCCTCTCCCACTCCCCCTGCTTGTGTTCCCTCTCTCTCTGTGTCTCTCTCTGTCAAATAAATAAATAAAATCTTTAAAAAAAATAAAAATAAAAAATATTGTTACCAAAACCAATGTCAGGAGGTTTTACTCTCTGGAATTTCATGGTTTCAAGTTGTATGTTTATGTCTTTAATTCATTTTGAGTTAATTTTTGTGAATAGTAGGATGAGGGTCCAATTTCACTATTGTGGACATGGTTATCTAGTTTTCTTAACACCTATAATTGAAGAGACCATCCTTTATCCATTGAATTTTCTTGGCTTACTTGTCAAATGTCAGTTGGCCATATATGCATGGGTTTATTTCTGGGATCTCGATTCTGTTCCATTAGTCTGTCTCTTTTTATGCCAGTACTATCCTGTTTTGATTATTATAGCCTTTAGTATAGTTTAAAATCAGGAATTGGGATGTCTCTAGTTTTGCTGTTCATTCTTAGGGTTGCTTTGGCTATTCAAGGTCTTTTGTGGTTTCACACAAGTTTTAGGATTATCTTCTCAGTGAATAATGCCATAGGTATTTTGATAAAGATTGCATTGCATCTGTACATGGTTTCTTGCTGTTGTTGTATGTTTTCATTGTAACCTGGGTGGTGCCTGCCTGGGTGGTGCAGTCTGTTAGGCATCTGACTCTTGATTTCAGCTTGGATCATGATCTTGGGGTCGTGAGATCAAGCCCCAAGTCAGACTCTGTGCTCAGCAGGGAGTCTACTTTGGAGTCTCTCTTGCTTTCTCTCTGCCACTCCTCCCCGTGTCTCCCTCTCTCTCTCTGTCTAAAATCAATCAATCGATCAATCAATCTTAAAAACAAAACAAACAAACAAACAAGAAAACAAAGGATCTCCGATTTGCCTATTGGTGTATTTTTCAGCAAAAACTTTTCGGGCCAGAAAAGAAGGGGAGAATATTCAAATAGATAACAGAAAAAATTGTCAAAGAAGAGTAATCTATCCAACAAAGTTATCCTTTGGAAATGAGAGAGGGATAGACATTCCCCCATACAAACAATAGCTAAAGGAGTTCATCACCACAGACCTGACTTGCAGAGAAATCAGACAGAATCGCAGTAAAGAAAAAGACGTCTTGAACAATACTCTAGACCAATTACACATAACAGACATTTAGAGAATACTCTGGCCACAAAGAATACATATTTTTCTCAATTAGGAACATAGAATATTCTCCAAGATGACACATAGAATCTCAAAGGATGATTCGTAGTTGAAATAATCCTGAAAAAGAAGAACACGGTTGAAGACCTTACACTTCCGCATTTGAAAACTTCTTACAAAGTTACAGTTATCAAAATACAGACCTTCCTGAACTTATGATAATAATGTCCCAATAAACTGATTATACGTTGAAAATATTGTAAGTTATGTATTTAATACACCTAACCTACTGAAAACAAAGCTTAGACTAGCCCAACTTAAACATGCTTAGAACACTTATGTTAGCCTACAGTTAGGCAAAATCATCTAATACAAAGTCTCTATTATAATAAAGTATTGAATATCTCATGTAATTTATTAAATACTTTCTTGAAAGTGAAAAGTAAAAATAGAGTTGTTTTATGGGTACTGAATAGTTGTAAGCGCATGGGTTGTTAACCTTTGTGATCACATGGCTTTCTGGGAGGTGTGCCTCCCTGCCACTGTCCAGCATTATGTGAGTACAGTACCATATATTGTTAGCCTGGGAAAAGGTCAAAATTCAAATTCAAAGTGTGGTTTCTACTGAATGTGTATCACTTTTTCACCATCATAAATTCAAAAATCGTAAGTTGACCCATCACTGGTGGACCCATTGTAAGTTCAGTTCTGTCTATAGGATGGTACTGCTATAAAGACAGACACACATGTCAGTGTAATAGAATAGAAAGCCCAGGAATAAACCTTTGCATATATGGTCAAATGATTTTTTGGGGGCGGGGAGGGAGACAGGGAGAGAGAAAGCATACGCCCCTGCGGGGGAGGGGCAATGAGAGAGTAAGAGAGTGAATCGAGAATCTGATGCCCAACCAACTGAGCTCCTCAGGTGCCCCTGGTCAAATGATTTTTAACAAGAGTGCCAAGACCATTTAATGGAGGAAAGAAAGTCTCTTCAACTGGTAGTGCTGGAAAAACTGGATATTCACAAGCAAAAAATGAAATTTGACTTTACCTTTTACCATATACAAAACAAACTCAAAATGGATCAGAGCACTAAAGGTAAGACATGCCATTATAAAAATCATAGGAGAAAATAGAGGAGAAAATCTCCATGGCATCGGATTTGGCAATGATTTCTTATATATGACACCAAAGCATAGAAAACAAGAATTAAAACAGATTAGTTGGACTACAACAAAACTGAAAAATTCTCTGCATCCAAAGATACCACCAACAGAATGGAAAGGCAACTTACAGAATGGAGAGAGTGGCAAGTTGTATATCTGATATATCTAGAATGTATGGAGCATTCCTACAACTTAACAAGAACAATGGAAATAAAGAATCTGAATAAAAAATGGGCAGAGAAATTGAATAGGGACTTCTTGAGGGAATATATACAAATGCCCA